CTTCCCTTTTTTTTCCTCATTTCCTGGATAATGCTTATTGCAGTGAAAATGACTGAGCTACTGCTTTTCTAGCTGCTATTTCTTTTCTAGTCTTCTGAAACAATCAGGAGCTTGACACACTTGACAGGCAGCCAATAATAATTACAAGAGCTGAAACAGAGACTGTGAAGGGGGAAATAACAGGAATGAGGACACAAGTAACAGTACACAGTGGAAGAACAAGCAAGCAAAAGAACACTGCAAAAAACGCTTTTCTTAGATTATTTGTCTTGTTTACTATATATATATATATATATATATATATATATATATATATATATATATATATTAATAAAGGGTTTATTTTCTTTAAACAAGCCAAATTATTTGGCAGTGGGGTAAGCAGATTTTTGTTTTTGCTTTAAAATAATATTATTTTACTTGCCCTATAGGCAGATAATTTGGCTTGTTTTAAAGGGCACCTATGATGAAAATCAACTTTTGTCATATTGAAGTGATATAAACAAAACAAAAAGTCTTTTTTTTTATTTCCTAATGTTAAAATAGGACTCAATCCCAGTGATTTTGAGGCCCACCACAACGTGATGTAGGAGTGCAGTTTTCCCAGCCCACCGAATTAATTGACAGATGCCATGTCTCCATAATAACATCTATACACATGTCCACAGAGTTTCTGCAAAGAAACCGGGATTACAACATATGTTACAACTCTCTGCACCTCAATAATTCGTTTATTATGCATTTCAAAGGTAATATTTTGGTTTTGGTGGTCTCCAACAACATGCTGATATGCATGCAAGGTAAAAAAAAAAAAACACTTTCATTGTCTTATAATATGTATTTATTTTTACCTAATTATCTCAAGACTGCCATATGATTCGTTCAGCGATTAATTTGTTCCCAAACATCTTCTTAGCACGATGCTAATCTGTGCTGATTGGTCCGATGACCCAGTCTTTTGACTGTCCGAATGCATTCAGCACGAGACGAGAAATTCAGCACGAAATGAGGATCGCGAGCTCACAAATGCATTTAAATCCATAAAGAAAGAGGCACACGTCGTGTTTGTAATGTGCTTTAGATGCGATAAGGGAATATAAAAGGTACAGATACAGTACAAGCTGCGTGGAGGGGTTACAAGTAACAAAACACAATTAAATACATAATTTGCAAGCTAGAGAAAACGAGGCAACCATTTTAATCACACTTAAGTTACTTACACTTTGGACTGGAGGAAGAAACTGGTCCATGAACATAAAATTTTCCTGGGTCTGCGTGCACAACAAATGGGTGGTGCTTAAGTTCCGTTTTGATGTCACGCCATCACAGCTAAAGATTCGTTACCCCAAAGTTCTCTGTCGCACTGCATGGAAGGTTATTTTTAAAAACCTATATTAGGTGCTCTTCAAGATGTTTTTAAAACATTTCATGTTTGTAATGAAGACAGTAAAATCACTAAGAATTTTTTGTCTGCTATAATCTCTAAGATAGCATGGTGTCAGTAAACACGCATATCTGTGTGTGTGCACTGCAAACGGCATTTGTGTGAGACTCATCATTTCAGAGAGGCTTGATTAGGCTCCACCGCAAATACATCAAATAAACTTACTTGGTATTTGACTCGTGATCTTATTTTAGTTTTATCCGTGTTTGTTTCTATCCCTGACAGCTGTGTATCTAAGCAGATCATTTGGAATGAAAGCCACAGGCTACACAAACTGCGACATTGAAATCAAACATCAAAAGTGGCATATTGTACATTATATATTAAATAAATCTAATGGGTATTTTTGAGCTGAAACTTTACAGACACATTCTGGAGACATCAAAGACATTGGACATCATTGTAAAAGGGGTAAAATGGGTGTCCTTTAAGGAAAAAAACTTATTGTTTCTTAAAGCAAAACAATATGTTTTTCTAGGAAAGTGTTTTTACATGTTTAGGAACAAGACAATACCTTTAGATAAGAAAAAACATTTTGCAGTGAAAATAATAATTTACCACAAACCAGTGAAACGTCATTGAAATGCTGTTATGCATATAGTGGAGTACACACATTCCTAAGATGTTTCTCTACCACGCTTCAAATTTTCAGAAAAAAACAGCATAGCTGGAACTAATCTGGGACCCCAGGGGTAAAGGGCTCGTTCACTTCCTGAAGTCTCCAAAACATACACACACCCACATCCTTTCAGATCAACTTCACCTTCCTGTAACAACGAAAAAATTATTATTTGGGAGGCCTACTAACCCTTTTTCTTATGTAATACATTTACAATTTGCATTAATTATTTAATGAAATAACATCTTTGTTAACATCACTGTAAAAAAAAATATATATTGCTGCCTTAAATATTTGCTTAATCAAATTAACTTTAGTCATCTCATCTTACAATTCATCATTCAAACTGACTAAAATATGAAGTTTAACTTTGTGTATTTTTATGTAGTTGAAATTTAAAGCACATTAAAATGAGTTAAAAGCAACACAAATGTTTGTTTTATTGACTTTTTATTATTATTAGATTTTTTGCAATGCATGTTCTGCACATTCCCCAAATATTTTTGTATAGAATAGTCAAGAGCTCCACTCTAAAAGGCAGAAAGTCATGATGAATGGACATTACAGTGTAACATATCCATGAATCATTGTTGAGTAATTGGTTATGTGCAGAGTGTCACATTAGAGTGATCAAAACAGGAACTAAAATGGGTGTAGAATCCAAGTGCAGTTTTAATGATGTATAGTGCAGAGAAAGTAACAAAAAATACAAAAATCCAAAGTACAAAATAACAAACAAACAAACAAAACAAGAAACTAAGACAGATTAAACTCGAACTAGACTGCAACAAGATACAAAAGCAAGGATCAGGAACAACATACCAAAGACGACAACGACCAACTCAAACAGGGTATGAATGGTTGAATATATAGTCCAGGTAATCAACGAGAAACAGAGACAGCTGTGATTGCAATTAGTGTATATGAAAGACCGGGGGCCTGTTTCAGTAAGGAGGTTCAAACAACTCGGAGTTTAAACTTGAACTCTGAGTTGATTTACCGAGAGATTAAAAACTCTGAGTTTTCGGTTTCAGAATAGCTGAACTGAGTTAGATTAATCAACGTTGAGTAGACCAACTCAGAGATAAGCGCGCACACCTTGACTATAAAAAGACATTATCAATGGAGCACAGATATTACGAGTAACTATGGCAACATTTAAAAAAAAAGAGGTCAGCATTTTTTTTCTCTTTCTCTTTTCACACAGACTTTGTTCTGTGTGTGACAAAAATGTAGGCAATATCTATGTTTCCATCCAAATATATTACATAAATTTGTGCAAAACTGAAATAACGCCTAAAATATGCGAATAAAGCAGTATTTTCATTCAACAAGTCAAAGAGAACACAATCGTCACTTTCTGATTAACTTGCGCCAAATATCAACAGTAAAAACAGAATTTACTGCAGTAGAAGAAGCTGCGCCAATTATTTTTTTATTTAATAAATGTACTTGCGCCTCAGAAGACAATGCTGACACACAATGATCACGTTGGGGCGTTTGAAGCCATGAGACGCGGAGATCTTGACACGCTCCAGACGCTCGGAGGTAATTAATAATATACACTAATACTGAAACAGGTAAGGCATTTTAGAATGACCAAAACAACATTTAAGATGTTCTACTGTGTGCTCAGTCTGCTGGTTTGTCCATTCACACACATTTTCATCATCATCATCAACAAACCTTTTTTTTAATGCACATACTGTAATTTGTTAAGTGTTTCCTTGGTAGTTCATGCGCATCTTTTCTTATCAAATAAAAGTTTAACCTACTCAGTTATGCACATGTTTTATTATGAGCATTTTCAAGTGTTATGTGAATCATGACGTTTCTATCAATCGTTTTTATGCACATCTCCAAAATGAGCTCTAAAATAGGTGTGCGGAGACGTAAGGCTAAGGCGAGAAATACCTCTTTATCTTTAAAAAAAGGGGAGGAGACTGACAGAAACTCAGAGTTTAGAAAATAAAACCTGCTCCGGAACAGGTTAGATTCACAGAGTAAGTTACCACAGTAACTGTTAAAGTTACCTTTTTTTCAGAAACAGGCTTGACTTATCCTGCTTTCTCGAATTTAACAAACCTGCCATTTTGAAACGGAAAACCCAGAGTTTCTCTCATTTCAGGGTTAAAATACTCTGAGTTTTCACTTAACCTCCTTTTTGAAACAGGCCCTAGGTGTATGCGCGAAAGCATGTATGGATATGTAGTTTAAAGGGCCATGGAACCCCCTTGTTTCAGCAGGGTGTTTTCACACCTCTACTTTAGAAAAAGTCAGAAAAGTGGGCGTGTCCAGCTCTGTTTAGGGGGGAGTGTCGGAGGAACAAAAGAGGCTTGGTGTGGGAGTGTCTATTTGGGCGCGCTGAATTTCAGAGTCAAAACACACAACCACAGCGGACAATGTGACTGTGTTTACATGGACATCTGTAGTTCAATTATTTGCCAGATTATTAAATGGTGGACTTTAACTGCAGTTTGGCTCTTTCATTCAGGGAATTCATTCATGTCCCTCCCGACAAACGTTGAGGGTTGCTGGCGAACTGCAGTGGCATCTGGTGGACAAACACAGTCATGACATAGAGCTCATGTGCTGAGTTACTGATTATAATTGAAGCTGGTTCATTTGGAATTTCTGTGTGGGGTTTGCATGTTCTCCCCGTGTTGGCGTGGGTTTCCTCCGGAAGCTCCAGTTTCCCCCACAGTCCAAAGACACGTGTTATAGGTGAATTGAATAAAACTAATTTGGCTTGTGTATATGTGTGTTGCAAATGCAAAGAATCATAAATGTATAAAAACAACAATTAAAAAGAAAATTGACAGAGTCAGAAATGTGAACAGCCTACAGTCATTGTGTAAATAATATTCAATAATGCAATTCATAAAAAGTAACCTTAGCCTGATTATGTTTTTTAAAACAAGTTTTCTTTAATAACAAATACTTGATTTTTAGGAATATGATTAAATAATCCAGATTTTTAGGAATATGATTAAATAATCCAGATTAAATATAATCAGCTACTACCCAGCTCTGCTTATGTAAGGATTATGTTTTTTTAGCTCAGTATAAAAACAAAAGCGTATGGAAAGACCCAAAAGAGAAAGTGTGTACGAGAGAGAGGAATCAAATTTCATCTTTCATTATGAGTGGAAATTTAAATAGCTGAAGATGTATAACCGGTTTTTGAGGTTGAGTGCAAAGAGCAGAAACAGAAAAAGACGAAGCAGATACACACTGCACGACAACACTGAATATAATTGTACACAGAACTGCTGAAAGAAGGAAGACAGAGGCAAAAACTACAAATAAATAAATAAATTGGAGATTTGCACACCACCAATTCAACATAATGGAAATCCAAGGCAAATCCTCTGTGAGTAAATCCTTTTTTTTTTTCAAGGTTTTTAGGTTATAACTAAAGAAGCAACTTACCTGATTTATAAGTTAAGAGATTTTTTCAATTGACACTTGGTTGTGAAAACAATTAAAATAAGTATCTGCAGGTTATAGATATAGAAGAACTGCTAAAAATTATTTAAAAATTATATGACTGCCGTGTTTAAGGGCACTGTAAGTGCAGTACAGTACACTTCAGAAGAGTTTGTCTTTCTATTTATCAATTTTGGCATAAAGATACTTCAACATTATATATATGATTCTTAAATAATGAAATATAATTATACTCTTAAAGTTACAGCTGATTGTCCTGACCATATTTTTTTCATGTCTTGCAAGAGTAATCTGAAAATGTACTTTAAAAAGGTTTTGATCTTATTAATGCTTCTATCATTTTGTTTTCTCAGTGCAATAAAGCTTCATCACTAACAATTTTAACCCTACAGACTGATTTACCCGATCGACCTGAGATATTTGAATTTGAGGGTATCTCAATGGTCGAGCACTTCACTAAGAACTGGGAAAATGTGAAAAACTTTCAAGCAAGACCTGATGACATTCTAATCGCCACTTACCCCAAAGCAGGTAGAGCACTGAATTCGTTTTTTGTATATTATGTGACCACTAAGCTACTGTTTAAAGATGTGATCAGGTTTTTTTTTAATGAAGCAAATATTTTATAAAGCAATGATTTATTAGATTGACTAAATGTGACATTAAAAACTTGGGGCCTGCAATGTAGTGTCAGGTGGGATGCAAGTGTTTTTTGTCTTCAGCCAGGGGTAGATGGGTGCATTGTTGTTGTGTTGCTATTGTGGTTTAAATTGAAACTGCACCACTGGCTATGCAGCTAAAAGCTGGTATAAAGTCAACAGCACAGCTTTTTGTTACTGTTTTTTTTACATTAGTGGTAGGCTGGTCAAAACCATATACAAAATTCTTATTACAAACACAGGGATGCACAGCAGCACACAAATTCAATGATTATAATGTAAAAGATAATCGTTGTCTACATAAATATAAAAAAAGTCCTACATCCTCCTATGCCTTATCATCTGGGGGCTTTGGAAGAATCTGGCTCATTCTGTAGATGGAGTTTTCACACTATTCAGTTTTTCCTTTTACAAAGTCTGCCATGTAAATTGCAATTCACAATGGGCAACAGAGGCTCATTTTGAAAACGTCCCCTATATACATTTCTGGAGATCGTGAATTATGTAGCCAGGGGAACGTATGGCTGCTTTTCGTCTTTAAAACAAATGGTACAGGGCAGTATGGGGTGGCTTTTCGTGCTTATCAGCTGACCGATTACTTCCGTATGGACAGCTTTTTCGCTGTTATCAGTTTGTCCAGTTAGCTCGCCATGTACGTCTGCAGATGATGATTAGGTTCGAATCCAGCAAAGAACAGTTCCAGAAAGCGGGTAAGACAAAAACAAAAGCCAAAAAATAAAATAAACAAGTAAATAACAAGTAAAGAGTGTGGAAACATCTAAAAACATAATAAAATTCATATTAGGTCTTTTCTTTTTCAATATCAGAATATCAGAATCTTTATTGTCATTGTACAAAATACAACGAAATTTACATTTGCCCTTCCCTTCAGTGCAGTCCTATTTATCTAAAACAACAACAATAATTAAAAAGAGATAAAAATATAAAATCAAATGAAGAGTTACAATACAATATTAAAAGTGCGTATGATGTGCATATAAAGTGGCAAGTGCATTTCCAAGCAGCTTTTCAAATTTAAAAGTTAATAAAATGTGAGCCAGGAAGGCATACAATTTAATGTCCAAGTGTATAAAGTGGCAAGTGCATATCCTAGCAGCAGATTAAAAAGATTAAAATAATTTTGGCTAGAAACACCCTCAATTTAATGTCCATTCATTATTGCAACAGCCCTTGGATATGTGCTATTTTTTAGTCTGTTTGTTTTGGCTTTTATGGTTCTATATCGTCTTCCCGAAGGTAACATTTGAAATAGGTGGTATGCTGGATGAGACGAGTCTTTCAGGATGCTGCATGCTTTGCTGTAGCAGCGGGCCTTAAACAACTCCTCTAAGGAGGGAAGAGTGCAGCCGATGATTTTGTGCGCTGTATTGACAACCCTTTGGAGAGCAGCTTTTTCCTGGGCAGTGCAACTGGCATACCACACTGGGATGCAATACGTCAGCACACTTTCAATAGTGCATTTGTAAAAGGACACTAGCAGTTCTTGGGCCAAGTTGTTATTTTTTAACACCCTTAGAAAATGAAGTCGCTGCTGTGCCTTTTTGACCAGTGCAATAGTGTTGGTTTTCCATGATATGTTTTGATCCAGATGCAGGCCCAGATACTTGAAATTGCTGACAATCTCCACACAGTCCCCATGTATATGAATGGGCAGAGTATCTGGTCTGTTCCTTCTAAAGTCTACTATGATTTCCTTTGTTTTTAAGGTATTGAGGGCCAAGTTATTATCAGTGCACCATAAAGCCAGTTGGTTTACTTCATCTCTGTATGCGGTCTCATCTCCATTCGTGATGAGCCCGACCACTGCAATATCATCTGCAAATTTCAGGATAGTATTACTTGAATGGAAAGGAGTGCAGTCATGTGTATAAAGAGTGTACAGTAAGGGACTCAGCACACATCCCTGTGGGGAGCCTGTGCTAAGGCTGAGTGCTGAAGAGACGTGGTGCTCTACCTTGACTCTCTGTGAACGGTTACTGAGGAAATCTTGAATCCAGAGGCAAATGGAGAAAGGAAAGCCGAGATGATTTAGTTTAGAGACCAGTCTTTTTGGAATTATTGTATTAAATGCAGAGCTGAAGTCAATGAAGAGAATCCGGGCATAACTGTCTTTATGTTCTAGATGGGTCAGGGTAGTGTGAAGGGCTATAGCTATGGCATCCTCTGTTGATCTATTTTCCCTATATGCAAACTGGTGGGTATCAAATGCGGGAGGAAGTCTTTGGAGGATGTGACTTCTTACCAGCTTCTCAAAACACTTCATAACAACAGGGGTTAAGGCTACTGGCCGGTAGTCATTTAGACTATTGATGGTGGTCTTTTTTGGGACAGGGATGATTGTTGAGGCCTTAAGACAGAGTGGAACAATGGCCTGGCTAAGGGACAAATTAAATATTTTTGTAAAAACCCCTGTAAGTTCATCTGCACAGTCTTTCAACACCCTCCCTGTAATGCCATCAGGTCCTGCTGCTTTTCTGGGGTTTACTGTTCTCAGCACTTTCCTAACATCATCCTCCTCCACTGTGAAGACATGGCTAGGATTTGATAGTGAATGCAATGTGGCTTCCTCTGCTGACTGTTGTTCAAAGCGGGCAAAGAAGCAGTTAAGCTCTTCTGCTAGTGTGTTGTCAACCCCTACAGACCTGGGATTGGGTCTGTAGTTGGTAATATTTTGTATCCCCTGCCACACTTGTCTTGAATTATTGCTGTGGAGATATCCCTCAATTTTGTGTTTATATTTCAACTTGGCACCTCTGATGCCTGTTTTCAGGTTTGCTCTAGCTGCACTGTAACGCTCTTTGTCACCAGACTTGAAGGCGATGTTCCTTTCCTTCAGCAAAATCCTAACCCCTGCTGTCATCCAGGGTTTTTGGTTGGCATACACTCTGATGTGTTTCTCGGTGGTGACAGTGTCTGTACAGTGCTTAATGTAAGAGAGTACTGATGTAGTGTACTCCTCCAGATCCTGGGATTCAAACACACTCCAGTCTGTGTGAGCAAAACAGTCCTGTAGCTGTAAGGATGCACCCTCTGGCCATACTGTAACAGTTTTTAGGGTGGGGGGGGTCTCTTTTCCTCAGTGAAGAATAAACTGGCAGCATAAAAAGGGATATGTGGTCAGACTGACCAATATGAGGTGCTGGTATTGTTTTATAGCCTCGCTTAATGTTAGAGTATACTTTATCTAATAGATTGCCCCCACGTGTAGCACAGTTTACATGCTGATGGAGTTTGGGAAACACTATTTTAAGATCCACATGATTAAAATCTCCAGCAATTATATGTGCTGCCTCTGGATATTTGTTTAGTTGGGAGCTAATAGCATTATGGAGGAGGTTAAGCGCTGAATTAGCATTAGCATCAGGAGCTATATACACTGCTGTGATAAAAACAGCTGATGAAAACTCACGGGGGAGGAAAAAGGGTCTGCATTTAACTGTCAGACACTCCAAATCTGGGGAGCAATGATTATCTACAGCTTTAGTGTCTTTAGCCCATTTCTCACTAATATAAATACAAAGACCCCCACCTCGTTGTTTCTGTGAGAGATGGTTTCTGTCGTGACGGTGTAGGGTGAAATCTGTTAGCTCCACCGCTGCGTCAGGTATTCCTGGATGTAGCCATGACTCTGTTAGCATCAGAGTGCAGCAATCCCTGCATAGTCTGAATGGTTTTTTAAAATTGTCAAATTGGGTTTGGGGAAGTGGGTGGGCGCTGGTCAATCGATAATTTTGAAAACATTATTGGTTGGGTTTAGGGAAGGAGGAGGGAGGGTCAGTCGATATGTCAGTCAGTCAGTCGACAGCAGCCTCTGGTGAATTTAAGTGAGAACAGCAGGCACGAATGGCACTGTCGGAAAAACATTTTCCGATTTGAGATTTGAGATCTGAAAAAGCGCACAGCTGCCTCTCGTGGAATTGCGGAAACAAAAATACGTAGCTCCTGGGAGGTTTTTGGCACTCTCCTGAAATGCAGATAGTGGTACATTTTTAGGATGAGCCTGGGTTGCACAAGGGCGCAAAAACAACTCACTCTTAAAGGAATGGAAGATGTTACACTCAAAATACAACCATAATTTTTAAGACAACCTAACTTTATGGAATTAAAAACTTATTTTAGAACATGCGCCAGTCTCTGTGACCTTTTTTTCCATCCTTAAAATAGCAAAAGTGGATTTGGACATGTCAAAGTGCACATGCACCGTGTGCTTTTATTTTGATGCTTTAATTTTATTCAAGAGAATCACAATTTTCACAAAAATATTAAGAAGCACATTTGTTTCTTTTAGCTGTAATAAAAAACTGAAGGAATATGTGACATGACAGTTGTACTGTTTTCATTCAATTAAAAATAAAGAATCTAATATTTTTATTAACAATTTAAATCAAAGTCCGTTTAAAGCAAGTCATTTTACTTAGCGGCCATCTTTGAAATGCCTCTCGGGCAATATCGAGCCACCCAGACCTGTAGGTAGAGACAAAAAGAAATTCTGCTCTACATCAGCGTGATCTGCGCCTTAATTGCTGTTACCAGCAGAGTGCGTCTATTGTGTGGTATTTCTCACCATTTACCCCACCACTGAGTTGTAAACTCAACTGCTATGCCTTATTGAATATTGCATTGTTGCAGAGAATTGCACTACTACACCACCAAAGATTTTTACATTCATTGGATTCATCGTTTCGATTTAAAGGAGCATTCTTTATACACACACACACACACACACACACACACGCATGCTCACACACACACACATACAGACACACACACACACCTATTCGCTTATGGACTGAGAACTGTATACACACATGGGATTAATGTGAGTTTTCTACATTGTTTCAGGCAAGTGTGTCGTTTATTTTATTTTTGTTTTTACATCCTTATTGTTACAACTATTGTTTGTTTTTTTAAGTACAAATTTAACGCATTTTAATACACATTTAAATTCCCAAGGAGAAATATATAAAATTTAAGTACACAATAGTTTAAAAATAGGATTTATCTACATTATGCAGGGTAGGACATTTATATGGATACACCTTAATAAAATGGGAAAGGTTGGTGATATTAATGTCCTGTTTGCGGCACATTAGTATATGTGAGGGGGCTTGTAAATAACTCATGAAAGAATAAAGTAATGTTTAAAACCAAGCATACCATTGTTTTTATTGTGAAATTCCCAATAAGTTTATTAAGGTGTATCTATATAAATGGCCCACCCTAGCTTAACTAAATTTACATACATTTTAAAATATATACAAGTTAAAATTGAATATAAATATAATTTTAGATTTACATAAAAAAATGAATACAGTGAATAAATGCAATATAATTAGATACAGTTGGGCAAACTACAAAAGATTTCCAAAAGGGAACAAAGAGAAAAGGCTTTTCTTTTTTTAAATACATTTTATTTATTTATTTATTTGATTGTACTTACATTTCATGATTCCATTCACTCAAATCTTTTTTAAAAGAAAAACTTTCTGTTGGTTAACTTTCTGTTTGTTTCTATGCTCTTTTTCTCACTTTTTCTAGGCACAACTTGGGTTTCTAATATTCTAGACCTTCTGTATTTTGGTAAGGAAGATCCAAAGCGCCAGACCACCAAGCCTATCTATAAAAGAGTGCCATTCCTGGAGTCTTGTTTTCCAGAGATGCAATCAGGTCAGAAACTACAGTATAATATGTTACAAGGATTGTTTCCTGTTATTATTTTTGTAGAATTACATATTACTCACTTTTCCACAAATTTAAAGTCCACTATCATAGGTTCTGTGTGTACCCTGACATTTTTGTGATGTGACATTTAAATTTTCTGCTTTGTACAAAATTAAATATACATTATATCTGGGATTCATAAATCAAAGTAGCAGAAAAGCAAGCACATATGAGGCAAAGGTTCCCCGTGCATATAAACCAGGGGTGTACAAACTCTGTCCTGGAGGGCTGGTTTCCTGCATATTTTAATTCCAACCCCAATTAAACACACCTGAACCAGCTAATCAAGCTCTTTTAGGTATACTTGAGACTTCCAGGCAGGTGTGTTGGAGGAAGTTGGAGCTAAACTATGCAGGACACAGTACCTCCAGGACCAAGTTTGGACTCCCCTGATATAGACTAAAGTGCTCTGCTGGCTTCATTCTGCATTAGTGTGTTTGAATCCAGAGGTTCAGAGTTGACTGCAGCTCTAGCATCCCCTCTTATAACATCAAAACAGAATTAGAAATAACTGCCAAAGATTTTATTTCTATTTAAAAATTTAACTCTTTCATTTATATATTGATGACATGATGCCTTAAATTCCCTTTACAGTTTTCATCTATTTTTTCAGCATGGGAAAGTTGAAATTTAAATTTGGAGTATTAGTAATAAGAAAGAAAGCACTGTTGCTTTTGCTATTAAACGTGCATGATAGTGATAGGCTGATTAAAACATACCCTAACATTGCTTATTACATGCACATGGATGCACAGCAGCACACAAATATCTTCAAAATATGAACAATTAAAATGTAAAAGGTTATTGTCCTTATTATTATTTTCTTGAAAAAGAACTTAGTTTTCATTTGAATTTATTTTAATTGTTAAAATGATTTAAACAAATAGCATATAGTACATTTAAAACATACAGTGGTGTACACTTATTGTATTGTTGATTTTGATGTGATGTTTTTAATGAGTTATGTATATAAACAAATTTAAACACAAATAAGTTAATGAAAAACCAAACGTATATTGCATTAATATCAGTTAATGGAAAAGTTTACCCCAAATATAAAAATTCTGCCATCACTTACTTACACGTGACTTTTTCCAAACCAAAAACAAAAATATTTGGAAGAATGTTGTAAACCTGCACCATTGACTTAAATTGTGATTTTCCCACTACAGATGTCAATGGTTTCAAGATTCCAACATTCTTCAAAATATCTTATTTTGTGTTCAACACAGGTTGGAATGAAATAAAATCAACATGACTGTAATATTGATCTCTAAATTAAGACAAATTTATTTCATTTTATTCACTTCTTCTCTCTGATTAAGTGAAATTACCTGTTTCTATAAGGATTAGACTCATGAACAAGTGAGTCATTGTGGACATGTCAATGCTGATTAAGCAGAAAATTGTGTACATAAATCATTTGCCTGTGGCTGTCATATCCATAAACAAAAAAAAGTATCTCCAGCTACTCAGGCATAGAACATATATGTCATATTTTGCTCCGGCAGCCAGAAGTTTCAGCTGGAACTTATAAGGAAAAGTTCTCGAGTTTATGGATTACCTGTGATAACAGCGTATTTTACGCATACAGACTGTAACCCAGCTGTTCTTCCTGCCATCGGCGAACAGTGCTTTAATTTCTAAAGCCCTTTCTGTTGAGCAGGTGAAGACAATAACCAATCATAGAGACCTCACCTGTCAGCACTCAAAAAGCAAGCGGGAGAATGTTGACATTAGTTTATTTGCTATAAATTCTCATGCTGTCTTGTGTGCATGTGTTGGAGTTTTGTTTGATACATTCAGAAAGAGTGTTTTCTTAAACAGGTCAAATTAAAGATATAGTTCATATATCCTACTGCTGTATTAAAAAACAAAATTGTATATAAATTTTATATAAATAATATATAAATATATTTAAAGATTGAAATTTTTTTTTAAATCTTGTGCTATATATAGTTGTAAATAGTTTCATTCGAATGTGCTCGTCTGGTGTGTGATACTTGCAATTGTCATGTGAGTGCCGCATCGCAGCACTGATTTGCACATCCAGTGTGTGACCCCCTTTAACACTACCCCCTCATTGAGGGTTGAGCAATTTGTAGCAAAATATAAAAATGAGATGGTCCAAATTTGTAGGAATTAGCCACTAAATCAAAAAGTTAAGATTTGGAGCAAGATAGCATTGATAGCTTTTTTGGTTTCAAAATCTAATCTGTCTAAATTATCGTCTTTCTACACTTTTAGTTAATAGGTCAATTGTTGAGCCAGTGTAAACTTGTTATTTACAATTCTTTTAAACAACAACATTAACGTACCCATTAATTAATTCTTTTTTTTTTAATCATGTTTGACAGTGAAAACTGTTAGTGGTACTTCGTTTTGTACTTTTGAATATTATTGATTCTTCATTAACTGCTACAACTTGAGGTTGTCTGAAAGATGGGTTAGTTACATCAACATGGAAACAAGATAAAAACAAAGGTTGAAACACATACATTCAAGAAACAAGGAAGTAGGAAATACATGACACATGAAACAGGGACATGCAAAGCAAACTGAAAATAACACTATCAATTATGTCAACATTAAAATCAGTTTCATTTTCCCTTTCAGGCACAGAACTGGCTAATAACCTGCCAACCTCTCCTCGCCTAATCAAAACTCATTTACCTGTTCAACTTGTTCCCCAGTCCTTCTGGGAGAAGAACTCAAGGGTAATGTGTAAAATACTTTCTTTAACTCCACAATGTGGTGTAGGTGGCAAGTGGCAACCTTTTGAATCTGTTATGATGTGATGTGAATCTTGAACTACCAAACCCAAGCCTGTTTTTTAGAAATGTGATTTAAATGAATGAATATTTAAATAAAGGTAATTAAAAAAAAAAAAACTGCACTAGTTCCCTACAGTCGTGTATGTAACAGCTTAGCTCAAACAATAATTTGAGGATGTTGCTAGTACAATGATGTTTGTCACCCCTGGCTTGCTACTAGTACCTCAATATTTTGCTACTACTACAGTATTACTACTGTATAGCCTGCTATTGTTATGATAATTATGTAAAATTTTGAATGCAGAAGAAACACCACTGGATAACAAATTATGCTAAAGCTAAAGTTTTAAAAAAGCTTAATAAGGTAAACTCATTCATTCATTTTTGGAACCACCAACTTATCCAGCATATGTTTTACACCGCTGATGGTTTTAACTTCCAGCTGCAAACCATCCCTGGGAAACATCAATACACACTCATTTAGACTCATACACTAAAGACAATTTAGCTTACCCATATCACCTGTACCACGTCTTTGGACTGTGGGGAGAACCGGAGCACCCGCAGGAAACCCACGCAAACACAGGGAGAACATGCAAACTCCACACAGAAACGCCAACTGACTCAGCCGAGGCTCAAACCAGCAACATTCTTCCTATGAGTTGATCGTGCTACCCACTGCACCACCGTGATGCCTGCTAAGTTAAACTGTTTGCCAGAATTATAAATCTCAGTTAGCTGATGCTGGACTTTAGTCTATTACTAACCTAGATGCAGAAACATTAGCCTTCACTATCTATTTAAAGGCGCCATATAATGAAAAGCTAGATACTGTATAACCAGTTTCTTCCTGACGAAATAGTTGCAGAAAGGAAATGAGGATATATAGTGACTTGGGATACTTTGATTGGAGGATCATGATTAGCTAATGTGGACCAGCTAGGTCAATTATGAGCACATGCTCCTCTCGAAATTAGTTTAAAATTAAGCTTCACGTAAATCCAGTAAGTGTAAAATCTAAGTAATGAGATTACAACAATAATTTTCCCAAAATATAAAGTATTCTTATTAAGTATACTTGGTTAAATGCAATGCCCAATCTCTGAGCATGGGATAAAATTTACCAAGTATTACAAAAGTACAATCTTAGTGTACTCAAAAGAGTTCAATTGCAATACAATTGAAAAAAGAAATTGTGCACTTAAAAGTATACATTTATATGTCAAATGTAGGCCAATTCAGTCCCAAGAGGTATTCTAGTAGTATATTTCTGGTACATAGATGTAAATATGTTAAGTATACTTCAAAATATACTTCTATATCACGCAAGTATACTTACTCAAAGATAACTTGAAGTGTAGGCTGCGTCCGAAACCCCCTACTACTCAGTAGGTACTGCATTTGAATTTAAACGTACTACTCTGCCGTTAGAAAAGAACGTTCTATACAGTATGAATGTGAAAAGTATGAATAGAATTCGGACATACTACATTCGCCATTTTGTCATGGTCACGTGACGTAATGGGATAGCCGGAAGTAGTAAGTCATCTGAGTAATTCTCGCATACTGATTTTCGAATTCTATGAATTCGGACTTACTACTCGGCTCGCATACTGATTTTAGCGTACTGTATAGCATGGAAGTATGTGGTTTCGAACGCGGCCATACTCATTTTATGTAGGGTCAAGCTTCTAATATAAACAGAAATGTGGACACTTATTCTAAACTTATTCAGCACATACAGAGGCATAAGGGCTGTTTAATTGTGTCATTTGTTAATTTAAAGGGCACCTAGGTTACCCCTTTTTTTTAGATTTAATATAAGTCTTTTGCGTCTCTAGAATGTGTATATAAAGTTTCAGCTCAAAACACCCATCAGATTTTTCATTAAACCTTTTACAAGATGCTGTTTTATACTGATTTCCAGCAGGGGGTGGTTTTGTCGTACTGCGCCTTTAAGACGATTCTTTCCCGCCCACTGTTTCTACATGCCACCTCCCTCAGCTGCGTCAGACAACAGACAGACTTAAAAGAAGGAGGTCTCACGTAGCGTTTGTAAGATACTACAGTAAGAACTAACCTTTACTAATCAGTATTGTGAAGTTGCATTGATGAGTCACACACAATATCGTTACAAAGTTAACGTGCGCGCGCACGCACGCACACACACACACAGATACACACGCACACCGCAGATGACACACACACACACACAGGCAGGCAGGCAGGCAGACAGACGGAGCGCGCTTAGCTTAGTTAAGGCTAACCTCAAGTACTGTGTGGATATCTGTTATGCTAATGTACAAAATAAACCTGATTTAACTTCCACAAACCGGGATTGAAGCGTCTTCTTTTATAATTGTTCTGACACACCGCTGTGCTGATGAAGTAAAGCTGAAGTAAAACGCTGTAATTAATTACACACATACTCTGTTTTAAAACACTTTAAACATGTGAAACTTACTCTTAATCACATTTGATGATGACTGCTGATCCTAGCGAACGGAACAGACCTTTTATTCCCGGTTGCTTTGCGTATGTCTGCCTGGTCTTGTTGACATATACACGTGACTACCGGAACATGTTAATGCGCGCAGCTGTCAATCAATTCAGTGGGCGGGGGGATCGCACACCTACGTAATGGTGTGATCGATTTGAAAACAGCTCCAATTGGCCGACCCTTTTTTTTGTAGTTAAATTGAAAAAAAAGGACTGGGTGTGTTCATATCACCCCTGTATGACGGTCTATACACTATACCAACACACAGATCTGTCCAAACAGCTTGAAAAGTAGATTTTTTACCATAGGTGCCCTTTAATGTCTATATTGTGAGTTTTGCATCATATGTCATAAAATAAACAAACCAATTAAAAAAATGGTTTGGAATAGAGTGTTAGAATGGGCAGTTCACACGCTATGAGGGTTTAACCTACTGTAAATACGAATATGAAATGTACAAACTTTATTAAGCCTGAGACTATTGCACTGATACACTTCGGATGATACTAAGCATGACTATGAAAACTGAGAAGAATAAATGTATTTAATATCAAACAAAGCATTATATATATATATATATATATATATATATATATATATATATATATATATATATATATATATATATATATATATATATATATATTTTTTTTTTTTTTTTTTTTTTTTTTTAGGTTGTGTAATTAAGAAATTGGGATTTGTCCTATTTTTTGTCCAGGTGGCATATGTAGCTCGTAATGCAAAAGACAACGCGGTTTCCTATTTTCATTTTAATCGAATGAACAAGGCACAACCTGAACCAGGAGACTGGAACACCTTCCTGGAAGAATTTATGAAAGGAAAAAGTAAGTAACATAACACTTGTTTGAAAGTGTAATCAAATCCTATTAGTCAGATACAATGAACATAACAAAAAAAAAAAAAAACTTTAAAAAAAACTATTGGTGTGTGTGAAATCATTAAAGAGAAAAAATAAAAGAAGAAAAATAATATACAGTATACAGTTGAAGTCAGAATTATTAGCCCTCTTCAAATTTTTTTTCTTCTTTTTTAAATATTTCCCAAATGATGTTAAACTGAGCAAGGAAATTTTCACAGTATGTCTGATAATATTTATTCTTTTGGAGAAAGTCTTATTTGTTTTATTTCGGCTAGAATAAAAGCAGTTTTAAATTTTTTAAACACCATTTTAGGGACAAAATTATTTGCCTCTTTAAGCTATATTTTTTCTTGATAATCTACAGAACAAACCATCATAACACAATAACTTGCCTAATTACCCTAATTACCCTAGTTAGGTCTTTAAATGTCACTTTAAGCTGTATAGAAGTGTCTTGAAAAATATAAGGTAAAACTTTGTGCTGTCATCATGGCAAAGATAAAATAATTCAGTTATTAGAAAAGAGTTATTAAAACTATTATGTTTAGAAATGTGTTGAAAAAAATCTGCTTTCCATTAAACAGAAATTGGGGAAAAAATAAACAAGCAGTCCGATAAATGGGGGGGAGGGGGTAGTAATCCTGACCTCAACTGTATATATATATATATATATTTTTTTTTTTTTGTAAAGTTATTATACATTATTATATATATTATATATATTATTATTATAATGTGTGCATTATTCAAAATATATTTACCACTGATTTATTGTTTCTATTTTGCATATAGTGGTGTTTGGTTCTTGGTTCGACCATGTCTGTGGATGGTGGGAGAAAAAAAAAACATATCCTAACTTACACTACATGTTGTACGAGGATATGGCGAAAGTAAGTTCAGTACATACAGTAAGAATCTCTTCAAGAAGCATCAAATCTAAATTAATGTTTAATGTGTATTTTCAATGGCTTGCTCAGGACATTAAAGGCGAAGTAGAAAGTTTGTGCACTTTCTTAAAATTGTCACGTTCAGACGAAGAGAAGGAGAAAATAATAAATGGCATTCAGTTTGATGCCATGAAACAGAACAAGATGACCAATTACTCCACTGTCCTAGTGATGGATTTCACAATCTCGCCGTTCATGCGGAAAGGTTAATACACCTCTGATTTATCATTTTGAATTCTGTCCTTTCATTTAGTTTGATCACCTTTGTGTTTGTGTACCAAAAGGTAAAGTTGGAGACTGGAAAAATCACTTTACTGTGGCACAGAATGAACAGTTCAATGAGGACTACAAACAGAAGATGAAGAATTCCACTCTCAAGTTCCCTACTGAGCATGGGCGTAAAACCCGGGGGGGACGGGGGAGACATGTCCCCTCCCATCCGAGACTTGTCCCCCCCCCGCAAAAAAGAAAAAATTTAAATTATAAAAAAAAAAATCTTAATTGTGAAAAATATACCTATATATACCTAAAATAATTGTCTAAGTAGAATGAAAACAGCATGTATTATTTAAAATGCATTTAGAAACAGTTGAGTTACCCCTCCCCTTCCTCAAAGTGGTTCGGTCCACTGTGTGCTTTTTCTCATCTCACCCATCTCACACGCATGCGTGTCTGCGTCACGTCTGCTTCAAGGGTTTGCAGCACATTGCATACTCTTATTTTTGCTTAATTATACCTATTCATTCTCTATCAGTGTTTTCACTTATCCTTAGATGTTTCATTTGCAATTAAGTGCTTTTTACCTTTCTTATTTATAGCTTTTTATTCCAAATGGTAATATTTATACAATTGATGTAAACATTTTGGTATGCCATATATGGTTATACCTATTGCTTCTTTTATTGTGGTTACAGCTCATTGGTGTGTCTACAGTTTTGCAGCAGTGTGTGTACACACAACTGATATCTGTGTTTGACCTATAGTTCATGTGTGTGCTCATTTGAAGGCCTTTGCTTTGAAATTGCAAGGAAATTACATTATGAAAATTTTCTGTGTCAAAAGCATCCAAGTGTGTTTAGTGATTTGCAAATGACTGTGTGTAATGTTTTGCAAAAAGTGTGAAGCTGACAATGTGCTTACAGTTGTGCAGATCTAGACTTGTGTTTTGTTATTACCTCTGAAACAAATCAAACCCAGATTATATCAGTATTAGTCAGGTAGAAATTATACGAGTGTTTAAGATTGAGATCAGCAGTGTGTAAATGAAGCAAAAGGATTTATCTTGAATGAGGCGTGTGTGTTCTGTACGGTGTTAAAATTGTGTTTTGTTAGTGTTGTAAAGTTTTGGATGAAGTGTTTTATTTTGCATAAGTTCTGATGTGTTCTGCTGTTTGTGTGTGTGGATGTGGAAATTGTGTGTGTTTTGACAAAATGAGCCTTCATTTCAATATTGTGCTTGAGCCATTAAAAAAAAAAAAAAAAAAAAACTGTAAATGAACAATGACTCACTTAGTTTTTTTTACACACAATTACTTGTACTTCAGACACAATGACTACAACATGTGACTGATGTACTAACCCCCTGAACCAATTCTGCTTAACTACAAGCACAATTCCTGCTTTACACTCAAATTGCAGGTTTAAAACAACCTTTTTCAAAACACTACACACAATTCTCTGCATTTGGCACAATTTTCATGCAGAAAATCTCTTGTTTTAACAAGGAACACACTGTCATTCACAATACTCATCAGATGAGTAAACACCTTTCACACAGAATTGCAATTTAGAAAATCAGAGCTCATCCCCAAGCAGGAAAAAAATCTTCAATATGATTAAGGAATGGAGAATATGGAAGCAGATAAACAACTAAAAAACATGGGTGGACAGTGTACCAGTTATGAACCAGATGAGCTCTGATTTCTAAATTGCAATTCTGTGTGACAGGTGTTTACTCATGTGATGAGTTAGTATGCAAAGTAGGACAACTGACTTTACAATTCTGAACGACAGTGTGTTCCTTGTCAAAACAAGAGATTTTCTGCATGAAAATTGTGCAAAATGCAGAGAATTGTGTGTAGTGTTTTGAAAAAAGTGTATTTTGAACCTGCAATTTGAGTGTAAAGCAGGAATTGTGCTCGTAGTTTAGAAGAATTGGTTCAGGGGTTGGTGCATCAGTTACATGTTGTAGTCATTGTTTCTGAAGTAAAAGTAATTGTGTGTAAACAATTGGAAAAAACTGTAATAGTGACATTCTGCCACCTACTGGCGATTTTAGTTTTTAGTTTAGATGTAACATTTAAAGCAAATTTTAATTATTTTTTAATTATTTCAAATAACATTAGGCTATTCAACGTTTTAGGATTAAACATCACTGTTTTGGTTATTATTATGAAAGGTTCGGGGTTTGGGTAATATTAGGAAATAATATTACAATTTAAAATAATGCTTTTCTATTTTAATATACTTATTTATTTATGTGATGCAAAGTTAAATCTTTTGACACTTTTATGTCGCGTGATCCTTCAATGTATTGTCAACGTTGTGCTATTAAATGTTTTTCTATGATTTTTTACAGGATTGATTGATTGAATCCTGGCAAATTATTATTCAAAATATAAATACTATCAATGTAACATTATTGCTGAATAAAAATATAAGAAAGAAAATACAAGAAAGAAAGGAAACAAAATAAAAATAAAATACGTTATGTTTTTTTATTTGTCAAAGAATGATAATATTATGTTTTAAACGTAAAATAAAGAAGAAAGGTGCTTTAAAAACAACACAATAATGGTTAATGTAATTTTCTATTTTTCTAATATTTTACAGCAAAAGTATCAGATCAAACAGGCGATTGTGATTGACGAGTTGGTGGTCACTGATATGCTGTATAGGCTACATTAAACATGTAAAAAATTAAAACACAATAAGACTCAAATCTAAAACAAATTAAAAAAGGATTTTGCAAAACTAAACGACATGAATATACTAATAAACAACCTAAACTTTACCTCCGGAGACATTTGTTATTTATGTTATACATTTTTTATACGTTTTAATGCTATCTTGAAAACAAATATCATTATATATTAACATATTTATATTTAATTTGCACATAATTATTGTATATTGTATAAGTTAGCCGGCAAAAAGCAGACAGACGCACTAAAAACTGCTCAAAAATATATATAACAAGTCAGACGCTGATGTCACGTCCATTGAGAGGAATGTATGAAGGGCAAGAAAATTGTGCACTGGCTCACACAAACTGCACTGAGCCGTGTGAGCAGCGTGTTATGATACGTGTTAGCGAAAAAAAAAAAAATAACTTCACTGCTACACGTGAATCACGCGTAACGTCTGGCTTGACACTTCACTGCCACACGTGATCTACGTCTTAAATTGCATGGATTTAATAGCAAAAAAACTATTTTTTAAGACGTCAGTGAGACGTTCAGTGAGAAAGACCCTATGCGCACGCCATATTTATCCACCTTAAATAAAGCAATTCTCTTCAATGTAGTTAATACATACTCGTTCATGAATTAGTCGCGGCAAAAATGCTGATTACAGATGTATATATCGTCCTTTCCACCGAACTCACGACACAAGCCCAGGTTCTAGCGACTCATCAGCAACAGCTTGCACATCTCACACAACTAACGGAGGAACTAGTGAGTACCCTGCGTAATCTGCATGTTGCGACCCCAGCGTAACCCACCGCCAACTACTCTACCAGTCCACCTCCGGCAACCTTTACTCCTCACTCAACCAGTCTTCGCCTAGCGGTTTCTGACAAGTTCTACAGTAATCCCTCTAAATGTAAAGGTTTTCTGCTTCAATGCAAGCTGTTTGTCGCACAACAACCCCTTATGTTTGCAGATGAGAACAGTAAAATCGCTTTTGTGTGCTCGTTGCTCTCTGGAAAAGCCCTGGATTGGGCTACTGCGGTCTGGCCACAGAACACCCCCACTTTTCCCTCGTTTAAAGAGTTTCTCCAGCGTTTCTGTGTGGTATTTGATCACCCAGCAGGAGGTCAAAATGCAGGTGAAGAATTACTCTCCATTCAGCAAAATAATCAACCAGCGGCTGAATTCGCTCTTCACTTTCGTACTCTGGCTGCACAAACTGGCTGGGCTGACGACCCTCTCAAGACCCTGTACCGCAAAGCCCTGAACCCTGAGTTACACACTGAACTAGCTTGTTGAGATGATGGAAAATCACTTGATCAACTCATAGAGCTCTTCATCAGGTTGGACAATCTGCTACGCACTAGAAAGCCCTCCTCATATGTGCTCCCCAGTCCCAGTCCAGAAACCGCTCCAGCTCCAACTCCTACCGCTCCCGCTGAACCCATGCAATTGGGTCGTGCTCAATTATCCCCTGAAGAACAAGAAAGACGTCTGAAGAATATTCTCTGCCTGTATTGCGGACTTGGTGGTCATACAAAGATTAAATGTCCCAATAAGCCCCTTTCCAAGACCTGTTCGGTGAGTGCAACCTCTATTCTCACTATAAACAATAACGCTCTTATTGTCCCCATCTCGATTTGCATTGAAAAAGTCACTAATTATACCATGGCGTTGGTTGACTCGGGAGCCGCTGGTAATTTCATGGATGAGACATTTGCTCGTAGAAACGCTATCCCACTAACCTCTTGTGATTCCCCCTTAGCAATCACAGCAGTAGACGGACACCCGCCCCCTTGAGGATGGAAATATAACTTACCGTACCACTCACCTGTCAGTTCAAACAGGCTCACTTTACAAGGAAGTCATGGAGTTTCTGATCACTAAGTCTCCTCAACATCCCATCATCCTTGGATGGCGGTGGCTTCAGACTCATAACCCCCTCATCTCTTGGAAAACTGGTGAGATCTCAAAGCGGAGTGAATCTTGTTTAAGAGATTGTATATGTTCTGTCACCCCTGTTCAGCTCAATACCATTGCTACCGACCTTGAAAACCCCGTAAGTTACTTGGTTCCTGATAAATACAAAAATCTATCCGAAGCGTTCAGCAAGAAAAAAGCCACACATCTCCCCCCTCACCGTGAGTATGACTGTGGTATTGACCTGTTGCCTGGTACCATGCCCCCTCGTGGGAGAATCTTTCCCCTGTCTCAAGTAGAAATTGAAGCGATGAATGCGTACATTAAGGAGGAGTTGGAGAAAGGATTCATCCGGCTGTCTACTTCACCCGCATCCGCTGGTTTCTTTTTTGTGGAGAAAAAGTATGGAAGTCTGTGCCCCTGCATTGACTATAGAGGTTTGAATGATATTACTGTGAAGTAATGTTATCTTTTACCCCTGGTCCCTGCTGCTCTAGAACAATTACGCTCAGCCAAATACTTCACAAAACTTGATCTTCGCAGTGCCTACAACCTCATACATATCAACCGGGGTGACGAATGGAAAACCGGCTTCTCGACGACCACCGGCCACTATGAATATCGGGTAATGCCCTTCAGCCTGGCAAACAGTCCTTCAGTCTTCCAAGCATTCATCAATAAGGTATTTTGTGACATGCTGAACCAATGGATAATTGTCTATATTGATGACATTCTTGTTTATTCTAAGACTCTTGATGACCATATTCTGCACGTACAAGCTGTACTACAGAGATTGATTGAAAATCAGCTTTACGTCAAACTAAGTGCGAAATTCACCGAACCCGCACCTCATTCCTGGGTTACGTTATCAGTGCTGAAGGAGTCGCCATGGACGAAGATAAGGTGAATGCTGTGTTGAATTGGCCAAAACCTAATACGGTAAAGGAGATGCAACGTTTTCTGGGGTTTGCTAACTTCTACCGCCGATTCATACGAAACTTCAGCCCTGTAGCTGCTACCCTCACTTCTATGGTAAAATCTGGAAACCCCAAGCTCAAGTGGAACCCCGACGCCATCCGAGCCTTCAACCATCTCAAATCCCGTTTCTCCTCAGCACCCATTCTCTGTCACCCATCTCCCAAGTTACCCTTTATCCTTGAAATTGACGCATTCAATACAGGCATCGGAGCTGTATTATCACAGAGACAAGTGGCATCCAACAAGCTCCATCCCTGCGCCTTCTTCTCACGGAAGCTGAACTCAGCAGAGCGAAACTATGACGCAGGCAACCGGGAACTCCTAGCTATGAAAGCAGCTATGGAGGAATGGAGGCATTGGCTGGAGGAAGCTAGACACCCGTTCACTGTGATAACAGATCATAAAAACCTGGAGTACATCCGTTCGGCTAAGAGATTAAATCCCCGACAAGCTAGATGGGCTCTGTTTTTTACTCGTTTCAACTTCTCTGTTACTTACATCCCTTGACCAAAGAACATTAAAGCTGATGCTGTCTCTCGCCTCTTCGAAGATGAACCTAAATCAGATCACGAAAAACCCATACTACCTGAATCCATTATTCTGGCACCCATTTCCTGGGATATTGATGCAGAAATCGCCCAAGTCGTAGATCAACATCCATCACCTCCATCATGTCCAGCAGATAA